TTAATACGCCCATTTATTCTGTGATTCAAGTATTACATAGTATATAACCAAAAAATTGAATATAAATTATTTTTCTCGCAGTAGTTTATGTAATTACGAGTATATTTTATTTTACCCTCCTGTTCTCAATCACTATTGAATAGTAGTATTTGGGTCGTAAAATCTTGTTGGATGATTATATAATTGAATATTATCCTTAAAAATCCTTAAAAACCTATCCTTAGTATTATCAATGCAGAGTGTGCAAACATTTCAAAATCATGAATTTAAAAACGCTGACTATGCGAGTATAAATATTAAAGCCTAACAGAGCGGTGCGGCGTGCTGCCAGGGCGAGAGGCTCACTGATGCCTACAAACCTAAGTGGATACTTCACGCATTGCACAATGCTTGAAGTATCCACTTAGGTTTGCAGGCGTCAATGCGCGTTTCGCGCTGGCCGCCCGCCAGCCGTGCGGCGGTGCCTGAAGCAACTATTTCACAACAGAGGTGTTGCCAAGTATTATACGAAATTGAACGTATTAATAATGACACCACATCTTCCTTTTACTTTATTTTTACCTACATTATTTGATGTTCGGTTGCACTGTATATTGTTCAGGCCAGTGAGTTTTTCTCACCGTTATATTTGAGAGGCTTGGAGGAAAAGGCGCATAAGAGTAGTTTTTGCTATTTCGAGAAATACGAGTTTGAAGTTTCGAAATCACATGGATCCTTATGTCGGAAAGAAAGCTCAAACTGACTTTATGATGCTTGAAAATTGGAATTTGGGAGCGAATTTGTCACAGATCATGCATAAAGACTAGTTTTACTTGGAATCACTAATATCTCAATTTTTTCAAAAACTACACTTATGCGCCTTGTCCTCCAAGCCCCTCATTTCATAGCAAGGTGTTTCTATCGTAACATCAATCTCAGATGTGGAAGTCACGTTACACTTTTATTTCGTCGCGTAATTCGTAGCTATGTAAAACCTTTCTTGTGCCAAGTTTATGAAAATAAGAAATGGATAGCTCTAGAATACTATGTGCAGAAGTTGAACACAATTTTTTCCTTAACTATGTAAAATAGGGAATAGGTAGAGAAATAATGATGCTAAATATCCAGCACCTTGGTTTTATGTTTTCAACCGAGGTTTGATTGAAATTGACTGATTTGGCCAGCCACGGAAATAAAACGCTCCAAAAAATGTTTTAAAATTTTATTTGAATTCTTCTGTATCTAATTGGCTAACATACCTATCTCTGATCAAATTTGATAACAAGTAAAATATATTTATTTACTCTAACAATACCATAAGAACAAATATTTGACAAAGAAAATAAGGCATTTAATTTGTTCAATTTGTATAATCACAACTGAGTTTTTTTTCGCACTGTAAATTATCGATTGGTATAGACTGTGTCTTTCGAAACATGTCAGTTCCGGAGGACGATTTCAATAATGAGCCTCACCTAGATGAAGCATTTTGTCAGAAATGTTCAAAAACATTTGACTTTTGCAATAATGGGTGACATCTCAGTTGCGAGACATGCAAAAGTGTACTACTGAATTCCATTTTTCTAATGATAATTTTCCTCGATCGTTTTCACCGGGACTTTTTACAATTTACTTACAGATTTTTGGTAAAGTTTTCATGTTCAGAGAAATCTAAATCGACTCCTTATACCTACAGGAATTTCTTTTAATTGATAATGAAGAGTTTGAAATCTTCAATTTAACGAACTGTTCGTGATCTCTTAAATTTCGATAGTCACGAGAAACTCAATAGCACCACGGGTTCTATCTCAAATCAAATCTCAAGCCACGAATGCTCGAATGTTGTTTTTACCCAGAAGTAATACCTCAGTGCCGTTGCGTTCAAAGTCAAAATGCCGTATCTTAATTCCGATGCTTCCTATTCCAACTGACACATTTTTCACTACTGAGGCTGAGTCCTAAGCTATAATGAGATGTTTCCATTGAGACCTCATCACACACAAAAGAGAACTGTTTATTCTCGGTTTATTTCAGAAACAACACATCGACGATGAAACTCTCAAACCGCGTAGGTATCTCGGTTTGCGACATCGCAGTCATCTTTTATACTGTATTTATTTAAATGGAAAACTACTCAAACCCTTTAAAACTTCCGTGATACTTCTTCTATGTGCGGAGCAAATACTCGAAAAACTTCAAGGGGTGATGATGATTTATGATCCTCTAAGAAATAAAATTAGGAGCGGGTGGAGGTATCAAAACATCGCAAACGAGGTACATAGTTTAGGAGTTTCTCCATCAACATGTGCTGACCATGGGTTATGATTTTATTGCTGAGCTCGAAAAATTGGTTCATTTCCCAAGTGGCACGGTTGCAAAACGTTGCGACTCGATCGGTACATTTTTGCGACTTTACTTGAGGCAATAATTTAATAATGAAATATTACCCAAGCCATAAATAGTGAGATTTTGAGATATGTTGCGATAAATTTGCTATATTATCGATGATTTGAGATATATTTTGATGAGATTTTTCACATGTTGATGGAGTTCTTGTGGAATTCAGTGCGACAACGTAGCAATAAAATCGCAACCTTATTTTAGTGCATCACAACTTTTTCGCTGAAAAATACAACTTAGGTTTTGCCAAATTCAGTCCATTTAGGTTAGCACCAAATTAAGCTGAGGATTGTATCATAGAGTTGCCCTAGAATAAAATTAATCATATTCAGTAATATTTCAGCTTAATGCCTACTTAAGTGCTTGTGTTTCATAAGTTGGTTGATAATGTACGATATGCGGATAGGATATTCCAGGTTAATGACAGAGGCCAACCCTGGTAAAAATTGGCGATAAGAGCTGCGTTTCAAAATACCATAGGAATTCTTATAGCCGGCTAACGAAGGCTAAAGAAAATCATATAGCTGGCTATAGAACGCGGAGAAAGTCCGCCAGATTAAATATTAGAGCCTAACACAAAGCGGAGCGGCGACGCACTGGCGCCTACAAACCTAACAGGGATACTTCACGCATTGCGCAACGCGTGAAGTATCCCTGTTAAGTTTGTAGGCGCCAATGCGCGTTTCGCGCTGGCTGCCCGCCTGCCGCGCCGCAGCGTGCCACGGCGCTTGAAGCAACTATTTCACACCAGAGGTATTGCACAGTATCATACGAAACTGAAGGCGCTCTAATATATTAGTAATGGCAGGCATCCATCAAAAGTACGGAGCTTTCCTCGCAAAATAAATCAAGATACTACGGCCCAAAAAGAGAGCAGTATTCCAAAAACTCACGAAGTCCTAGCATCCGTAATTAGTAACGCTTAGCATACACTTTATCGCCTGACTGTTGCTTAATCGTCATCGGCTATAAAAGGCTAAAAGAAATTGTGTAGCCGGCTATAGAAGCTATTGGAAATCTTACAGCCGGCTGTAGGTCATGGTATTTTGGAACACAGATTCTACTGCCAATTTTTACCACGGAAATGTCTCGGGTAAAACGAGTTTATTCTCTAATGCATGTATACTGTATGCTTAAGATCAGTCAAGATCGCACGTAAGTCTGCCCTAACGTCCATATTAATTTTTTGGTGGTGCGGTTTGAACTCATCAACGTATGCTAAATTTTGGTGTCAAAAGTACGGATAGAATTCGACTCTTCGGCACCGGATAATACGGTACAGACAGTATTCCAGATTGCGTGGCGGAATAATGTATAATATAACTTAATAACATATGAGCGCATAATATTCCATCAGACTATGGCAATCTTAATTATAATATTTTGTCAAATTTTGGTGAACGAGCAACATCGACGGTGTGAGGCCTTAACCACGTATCTCGTTTGCGGTGTTTGAAAATCTCCGCTCCAATTTTATGTTTTTAAAAGAGAAAAAATCGACAGCATTCCTTGATGTTTCCGCAGAATTTTCTCCGCACAGAGAAGACAAATAACGGCAGTTTTAAAGAATTGCCGCTAAGTTTAGTTTTCCATTTAAAATTTTAAGTATGACAGGAAGTCTGCAACGTCGCAAACAGAGATACGTGGTTGGGGGCTTCCACCGTCGATATGTGACTGCCCAAAAGGGTATAGGTACCTCAGCTCACGGAGGCACTTTTCTCAGGAAAGCGATTTTTCTCATAATTTACGTTAAGATTGAAAAGACAAAAATTTAATTTTCGACGGGAAACTTTGATCATCCAAAGAATAAGATGCAAAGTTAGCGCATTTTTGTACCGATAAAAGGTGTAAACTTACATTCAGTCCAACGATTTTAATATCTAAAATAGGCAGTTAAATTGAAATAGCTTTTTCTCGCGACTACCGTTCTTGGACTGTAAAGTTTGAAAAGAAAAAGCTCCAGGTTGGCCGACATTATCTTTTGAGTGATTTTGTCCCAAAGAGTTTTGGGAAAATTCTCTACACTCTGGTTCAATCAGCACAATTTTGGACATAGCCATGCGGTTAACATTAAACATTTTCGATTAGGTCTGAACGCAATCGAGTAAAATACTGGAGTGAAAAAATGAGGAGCGATACATTTTTGATTGGAAAAGAATTATGATACAGACCAAGAGATAAAAGAAACAGAAATGAGCCCTAGAAAACAAGACATGTTTTGAAAATATGCTCTTGACAATTATTTTGAATTAAAATTAACTATTTATGTGAAATAAATTTAAAAGCGTTTTCTTTGTTGAAAAATGCAAGAGTTGCTCCAAAAGTAGACTTCCCTGTTATTTTCTCGACATCTACCGAAGTAACCGTATTCTGTGATAGTTCGTCAGTGCACCATATTTTCACCTCTAAAATAAGCTATTTTTTCTTTCACTTTTAGATGGCTCTGTGACTTAAACGCATTTCCTCGGACTCGTTGTAGCTTGTGAGGATGTCGAGAAAAAAGTGAAGTTATCGTCTGAAATGATACGCGTATTATCAGACAAACATTATGCCACTATTAATATGTTTTTAAAAGGCTTTAATGTAAGATACATTATTAAACCAAAAAGTCAATTATGTTGAAATTAAATAGTCTCATAAATCCGACAGAAATTCTGGCGAGACATCAGATTTGCATAACATTAGTTCGAAAATTTTAAATAAAAATGTAGGTATGTGAACTGAATAATACATTTTACAACTGTTGAGACACATTTTGAATGGGGTTAACTGCTGCCGTGCTGAGCAAAAACCCCTTATGAACATTTGAGAGTTGCCAAATTGTCTCCATTAAAAACTCATTTCCAAGGAGTTATGAATAATTTCGTTTGGAAGTTTCAGATAATTGAGATCTGATCACGAATAATAGTCTTTGAAAAATTCGAAGAAAAATATTCACAGATTTTCAAAAAATTCAAATTTTATCAAAGGAAATTTGGTAATGTCTGAAGTTTCAAGTGGAGTTCTTGCTTAGAATGACAATATGGTTCAATGGTTTAGAATTTATTGGTATCAGTATACCCCGTAATCGTTAATTAAACTAGTGTGAGCTTATGAATATTAAACATAACGAACTTCCCTAAATTTTTTTTGGGCTGGTGATTAATTTTCTATTTAAACCTAAAAGAGATCTTTTGTAAGAAAATAAAAATGATCAAACGTCCAAAAATGCAACAATTAACAGGAATGCACTGGAAACTAAGGCGGATCCCTAGTGGAAGTGACCATAGATATCGTTCTATGAAACGCATGTTGCAAAATTTCAGGTTTTTAAGGTTTTAGTAAAAAAATGACTAGTATCGCGTCTTTAAAAGAAAATTTCATCCGACATTAGCTGGAGAAATTTTTTTAAGAAGGAGCTCTGAATTGAATCTAATTTCTTGATTAGGGAGGAGTACATTGATTGACTTTTAGTGTGGGAACACTACCGCCAATAACTAATTATCAAAATCCTGATCACCCTAAAAACTATTGGTTCCTTTTTACTCAGACTCAAGTATTCAATACATTCGTTCTAAAGGGATGGTAGGACAGGGAGTGCTGGTGAACACGTCTATCCTTCTGATTTCGTCCAAATTTTGCAATTCGGAACTTTGATCTCTGGCTCAGTTTAGAAAAAGAAAAAGAAAAAGAAAAAAAAAAAACGTAATCACCATTAGTTTCCCTGTGGCGTTTTTACGGATGATCCAGAAATTGTAGTTCGTATTTGCAAAATGAAGTCCATTTGATCGTCCGACCAAAATCTAGACATGGTCAATTGTCCACACTGATCAAAGGTGTTATGAATATTTATTTTAATTTGAAAGAAACTTTTCCCTTTGATTAAAAAAAATACTGTCTATTATTTAAAGACATTTTTTCCACTTTGAGTAATTTCATCACCAAAGCGGAGCTTTCTTTATTAAACTAAAATTTTAAAAAAGTTAAAATCAAAATAAACCTCTTTGTGGGTAAATAAAAAAAAACTTCTTAAGAACAAAAAGGTCCATTCTTCAAACCAAAAGGTACATTTTTTAAAATTGAAAACGTTCCCTCATTGTACTACGTACCTTTGTGACACTGAAATCAGTTCGCTCAAGGCCCACAAAGAGCTGACTTTCCAAGCAGATGCAGATTTTAATGACTGCTTATATAATTTCATTTGCTTGCAGCATTGTGAACTTTCCTTAATTAATATATTAAAATGTGCTTCATTCGTTTAGAAACCAATTTCGAGAGTTCCATAAAAACATCTGCCTTTTTGAATAGATCGGTTTTGTGATAATTTTGGCAACAAGCGTAGGTGACAGGGTGATGACGCCCTGGTAAAAATTGGCGATAGGAGCTGCGTTTCAAAATACCATAGGACTTCTTATAGCCGACTGAAGAAGGCAATAGAAAATCATATAGCTGGCTGTAGAAAGTGGAAAAAATCATACGGCAGGGCTACACGAAGCGATAAAAAATTATACAGCCGGGCTGTAGTTCCTATCGCCGGGCTTTACACTTTATCGCCTGGCTGTTGCTTTTTCGCCATCGGCTATAAAAGGCTATAAGAAATTGTGTAGAAATTCGTGTGCTTTGTAAATCCTTAAGTTTGTACGGAATCACCTTAATATTTACAAAACGCACATTATATTTTCCTGTACTGCATATTTTTTTTCATCAATTAAAATGAGAATAATCCATACAGAGTGTGCAAACATTTCAAAGTCATGACTCATGAGTTGAAAAACGCTGACTCCACGAGATTAAATATTAGAGCCTAACACAAAGCGGAGCAGCGGAGCAGCGGCGCACTGGCGCCTACAAACCTAACTGGGATACTTCACGCATTGCACAATGCGTGAAGTATCCCTGTTAGGTTTGAAGGCGCCAATGCGCGTTCCGCGCTGGCTGCCCGCTCGCCGCGCAGCGCCGCACTATGGTCCGAATAGCCGGTTTAAGCGGCAATAAATCGAAAAAGTGAAGTTTGGAAAAAGTTTGATTTTAAGAAGTAGATNCATGAGTTGAAAAACGCTGACTCCACGAGATTAAATATTAGAGCCTAACACAAAGCGGAGCGGCGGCGCACTGGCGCCTACAAACCTAACAGGGATACTTCACGCATTACGCAATGCGTGAGGTATCCCTGTTAGGTTTGTAGGCGCCAATGCACGTTCCGCGCTGGCTGCCCGCTCGCCGCGCCGCGCCGCGCCGCAGCGTACCACGGCGCTTGAAGCAACTATTTCACACCAGAGGTATTGCACAGTATCATACATCCGTAATTAGTAACGTTTAGCATACACTTTATCGCCAGGATGTTGCTTAGTCGCCATCGGCTATATAAGGCTAAAAGAAATTGTGTTGCCGGCTATAGAAGCTATTGGAAATCTTACAGCCGGCTGTAGGTCTATGGTATTTTGGAACACAGATTCTACTGCCAATTTTTACCAGGGCGTCGCTCCTTGACGAGAGAGCATATCTCAATTCCCACACGAGCCCTGCTTTCCGTACTGCCTTGCTAAGGAAGAACGCCGTATGAACATTTGAGTGTTGCCAAATTTCCTCCGATAAAATATTTATTTTTAAGGAATGTTATGAGTATTTTTTCTTGAACTTTTCAGGAACTTTAGATGAAATTGCGAACAAAATGATCTAAAAATTTGGAAGGAAATATTCATAAGTTCACCAGAAAATCCTTGTTTTATCCAAGGAAAATTGGCAACGCCTGAAGGTTGAATTTATACGGACATTTTCCTTAGCACGGCAGCGTAAACATAACTTAATGCGTCTAAAGTGGAAGTAAAGATACGCGCTCACATCAAAAGAGCAACGATAAGTCGTCGTCTCCAAACGGGTGGTTGCAATGACAAGAGAGGTAAGTATTAGACTAACTGACGGCAACTCACGAGAAACCTTATAGTTAGTCCATCATTTTACCCTTAGTCTATGAGAACCACCCGTTTCAACCAACAGGATCGCTCCATCTTCCCTTTGTCTTCTTCGCCTGTTGCTTTGCCTATCAATTTCAACAATTAGTCAACTGATCCATAGTCGTTCCCATTTTGGGGCCCAAAGCATCTTCCAGCATAAGGGCAGCGTCGCACCACGGTCTTCCGTGTGAAGGCTCTGTAATGCCCGTTTGATTCAACCGCATTGTTGCCACATAGGACGGGAAAATAAGTATTTTCCCCCCATTTAAACCAACGTAAAATATCCACTTTATCGCAAAAAGTGGCAACCTTGTCCAACCAACGCACAGTAGAACGAGCCATTGGGAGAGGTCGGAGATGAAATTATAGACTGGAATGCAAAGTTTCATATTTATTTTGCCACGATTTAAATTGCTGAGTAAACTTTTGGTGGGAATTCTACAAAAAAAAAAAAAAAAAAAAAAAAAAAAAAAAAAAAAAAAAAAAAAAAAAAAAAAAAAAAAAAACAAAAAAACAATAGAAACACTTTTAAACCTCTCCGTTTCATATTAAATAAGAGCGATAAACATCTTTAAAGTTTCAATGTTCTGGTCGGACCTCTTCCATAGACTTGCGACCCACTGTGCGACGGCTAAATTTACATAAGTAAGATCATCAATGGCAGTCTAATGTCAGGTTATCGTGCTGTTTCAGCGGGCTAATTACTTTAATTGATAGACAAAGCTATAGACAAAGAACACCTAAGAAAAATGAAGCAATGCTATTGGTTGAAACGGGTGGTTGTCTCAAGACTAAGAGGGAAAGAGACGGTCTAACTGTAGGGAAGGTCTCTCGGTTGCCCCTCTCTAAGAGGTTGCCTTTGGTCAGTTTTTAGTTGCCTCATTTCTTCGCTCCTCTGACGTTAGTGCGTATCTCGGTTTGCACGTGACCCCTGTGCTCCGTATACCTCCATGCTTTCTAGGGCTCATGTGAAAATAGAGAGACGCCCTTACGTCAAAGGAACGACGATTTATCCATTGCAACCACCCGCTTTCCACCATGAGGACAGCTCATTTCCTCTTTGTCCTCTTTGTCTGGCTTTGTCTATCAATTTTAATAAACAGCCCACATCAGCGGGCTGATTGTTGAAATTGATGGACAAAGCTATAAACGGAGAAAGACAAACGGGATGGGGGGAGGGGATTCTATTGGTGGAAGCGAGTGATTGCAATGGATAAAGGAGGTAGATAAAAGACGGCAATTCACGAGAAACCCTTTAGTTCGTCCATTACTTTCTCCCTTAGTCTGTAAGAACCACCCAAATTAACCAGTAGCATGACTCCACACTCATTATGACCTCTTTGTCTATCACTTTGTCTATCGATTTCAACAATCAGCCCACAGGGGAGGATCGTGGCATAGTAAGATGTACCTCCTACGAATGAGCAGAGACAAGGCTCGATTCATAGCTGAAATCAGCGACGATTGATCCAGCACGGAGTACGCTGATGGTTTCCGAGGTTGAGGTAAAGGTAAAGGTAAGGCTAAATGTGAAGGCAAGAGGGTGGTAACAGGGAAGGAGCGCAGTCACGATTTGCGTCTCCTGAAGACATCCATCACCTGGACAGATACAGCCAAAGGTCTTCAAATTTTACTATGCCGTCGTCGTCGAACTTGTCGCACACCAACCCTCGATACCGCTGTCTCACGTCAGATCCATAACTGTCAGCTTCTGCAATAAAAAAACAAGAATGAGGAGAGATTAGCACACAAGTGTCGCGGAAGCAAGCCGACGGCGAAACTATCAAACCACGTATCTCGTTTGCGGCGTTTGAAAATCTCCGCTCCCAATTCATTTTTTTAAAGGAAAACAAATCGCATTATTCCTGGAAGTTTCCACAGAGTTTTCTTCGCACAGTGAAGAAAAATCACGGAGGTTTTCGAGAAATGACTTCGAGTGGTTTTATGATTAAACAATAAAATATGAAAGGAAGTCTGCAACGTTGCAAACCGAGATACGTGGTCTGGTAATTTCACCGTCCTTGTCTAGCTGGTTGGTTGGTCGGCCTACGTCTACTTGAAGATGCCTTTAAAAACCATAGAAAAGAGAGATAGACACAAATTTAGATGGTAAACAACAAGGTGGTAGAATAGTGCTGAGTACACACTCTCCTGTGGGGAAAACTAGGCCAAAAACTTCCAAAAAATTTCAATCGGAGCCAAAAATTTAAGCTCTAACGAATATCGATGCAAAACTGAGGCCTTGCTTTCCCCGAAGAAGAGTGTGGACCTACCCTTATTATACTGCCTTGTTTTTACAGTTCAGGCCACATTATCAGGGTTTGTTACTTGTACAGATGGTAGTATCAAGTAAAATAAGGGGAGAAAATGACAAAGAAATAAGAGCGGGGGATTTGCAAAAATGAAGGAAGACATGGAAAGACATGTCACATATTTCGTGATCACTTGCAGGCGGAAAAAAATGAAGGCGCTGCGGCTTTTTCAATGGCAACGCCTGGATGCAACTATTCGAGCTCTAGGGACGTCCGTGTTGCATGCATGCAATATTGAAGGCGCTTGAGATTGCTTCGTCACAACAGCGCGCGCCTTGCTGCAGTAATTCGAGCTCAAGGGGTGTCCTTGTAGCGTATCAATGGTGAAAGTACAAAATCGCTGATGACGATTGAGGTGCTTAAAGATGTCAGCTCCTTCTGTATGATTCCAACAAGTTATTATCGGATATTTTTGCTCGCAATTTTCAAAGAATACTGTTGGAAGGACAAGAGAAAATCGCGCAAAATATAATAACGATGGTCAATTATTTTTCCTTCAAAAAGTAAAATGTGACAGGGAATATGGAACGTTACAAACCAGTGGAGTCTTATTACCCGCGATTTGGTTTATCTGCGGTTCTCTCGGTGGCATTTTTGAGATTATGTCACCAAAATACTTCTATTCGTAGAACACTAACATTTATGATAAAAGAAATTATGTGGTATTTGCCAAAATAGGTTTTTCAGGTAAAATTTATCTATTTCTAAATGTATATCAATGATCAAAGTGCGAAACTACGTAACTCCATTTTAGTGCATCAAAGTTTCCGCTCCTTTTATATACAGTTTGACATTTATACATGACATTATTCTAGCAGAGAAGGAGACTTAAGGAAGTTTGCAAGAAATTTCTTAATACTAGACTGAAATTCCAAAGGAAAAATCGAGTATGAAAAAAGGAGATACGAGGTTTTCATTTTAGTCATCGATATGTAATTACCTCTCTGTGCAATATTTGATGAATGTAATGAAATATTTCAAAATACAGTTTTTTCGATCACTTTTCCCTGAGTAGCTTAGTTTCAGATTATCTACGATACCTCTGGTCCCAACAACTGTAGTTAATCGAGACTCCATAGAGTATGTAGAGTAGTACATAGAGTTCGGTAGTTTTAACCTGACCTAGGCACCTGTTCTTCCGCAGGGACGCGGTTTGGTCAGGGGTGCTAGGGTGCCTTAGCACCCCAGAAATAATGACGAGTGGCTTAGGAGGGCCCGACAGAAATCCCATAAGGGCCCCCTAAAACTTGAAAAACCCACATACAGGAGAATTTCAGGTTAATCAGGAAGCGGGGGTCCCCGAGAGTAGGAGCTCTAAAAATACAGGGTGATCCAGGGTTTACTGACCAGACTGCAGGAGCCAAAACACCCCCAACCCCTTCCTTAAATTGAGATTTCGCGATTTTTTGTAGGTCATTCGTGAAATCAGAGCATAAAAGTACAGGAGAGTACAACTTTCCATGAGTTTTGGTTTACAACTATTGCCAAAATTCAGGAAAAACTATTTACTCTCCGTTTAGAGGGGGCCTTAGCTCCGACTAAGGGAACTTTTGGAAAGAACTTTATACGACAAAAAAATAGTATCTTGACCCATAGAACGCACTCCTGCAGTCTGGACGTTTAACCCTGGATCACCCTGTATATAAGCTCCCCAAGAATTTTTAAGCCAGACCGACCGGCCGATTACAATAAGATGTGGAGAGTGTGAATGAAAACACTGACCTGCTAAGGGTGAAGAGATGATATGATTATTAGTAGAACTAGTATTAATATGATGTGTAGGAGGTAAGGCAGTCTTAAAAGGAGAACTAGAGAGCAACGTCTCTGAGGAATTATCAAAATTCTTGATCACAATTTCGCGGCTCACGGGTCGGGGTTCGTTGCCCCGCCACCCGTGGCGCTGTGGGTCGTAAGGCTCCAACGTCCTCACATAATCGCGCAGCGTCAGTGGTCCCATCTCCAAGCTGGGGTTGAACTTCTCGCAATTCTCATCTGCAAACATATCCAATTTCATAAGATACCTGGTGGATCGAGGCGGTAGTACTACCGTGCTAAGGAAGAACACCATATGAGCCTTCAGGCGTTGCCAAATTTCCTTCGACAAATTACGAATTTGCCGGAAAATTTGTGTTTAACTCTCTTTCAATTTTATGGAAGATTTCGTCCGTACTTTGATCTAAAAAGTCTGAAAATTGCAAGGACAAATATTCATAACTTTTTTCAAAAATAGATATTTTTGAGAGAGAATTTGGCAGCATTCGAATGCTCATATGGCGTTTTTCCTTAGCACGGCTTATTTCCGTTACGTTGGAATTGAATTGCACTGGGTGACAATTTGCTCTATCCACGATCAAAATAATTTACATTAAAGGAAGGGTATCGATAAGGGCCATTTTTCGGTCCATCCTGGCTGAATTTTCGCGACTCAGAGATTTTAAACTCATTGAAGGTCTATAATTTAAGGGATTTTTTATGATTTGGTCATTTTCGGTCTCTTTTCCGGTCCGATACTGGCTTAAAAATGGGTCTGAAGGCCGACTTTAGCGAAGAATGCGGATTTCTTCGGCATTAGGCCACAAACCTGGAAAACCTGCATTTTTTGTCAAAATCGGCCGTTAGACCCATGTTTAGGCCAGTTGTAGACCGAGAAAAGAGACCAGGAATAATCAAACCATGATGCATGCCGTAAAATTAAGACCTTGAACGAGCAAAAAAATTGTCGAGTTGAGGAAATTCAGGGTGAGCTCCAAAGCGGCCCTTTTCGATACTCCTCCTTTGATTCAACTTGAGGCATTTTCAGGAAAACCTCAAAACAATCGAAATTTGTGGAAAAAAAACTGATTAGCTCCTAGATAGGCATCCAGGGACCAATTTGGTTGAGAAAATGGTATTTTTGACCCATGAAAAGGGGGAAAAAGGGTACTTTTGGCTCCTGCAATCTCGATTTCAGTGACATGGTCCTCTTTAAAGTGATTCCAAATGATCTAAAGCAGCAATCCGCCCATTACGTACCGCTTCTATAATATTTGTGACTTCGAGAAGTATTAACTATCGTAATCTACAAATCATTAATGGAAGAAACTGATCCAAAACGTGTAGCAGTATTAAAACTGAGTAGTATCACATCAAAATGAAGATTCACCGAAAACGTAGGTACATCGAAAGCTACGAAAAGGGACTTCACTGTTTGACTCAGTGTTAATATAGATTTTCAAGGAATTTACGCAAATATGATGTCATACCACTCAGTTTTGATGCTGCCACTCGTCGCGCAGTACGGCCGAGAAAAAGAGACGTGATCGAGCCTCGTTGTTTTAACTTCAGTCCCGAATTAGAGCAACAACTCTTCGGCAGTATGGATCGAAGCATCGCGAGTTCACGCATCGCGCCATAGCGCCTTCAATTTTGCAGATACAACGCGGACATCCATCAGGCACGAATAGTTGTATCTCTGCGCCGTCATCAACAAACGTACGTCCTCTCACTTTCTCTATTTTCATTTTGTGTTGGTTCCATTTATCTTATTTTTACTGTGGTGCTTCAAGGGCCACGTGAGTAAAAACTATCAAAATCAATGTATTTGACTCGATTTAAGACTTTCCGCTTTAAAAAAATCCTGGGCATCTAAGGATAAATTATAGTAGGTTATGGTAATTATTGCTTCTCAAAGACACAAACAGTGTAGAAGCGCAACGTAGTGGTAGAACTTTGTCCTAAATCATTTGGAATCACCTTAAGAGTATGGTGATCAGCCTCCTCAAGGATTATTACTTAAGAAAGAAGAATTGTGAACTTTGTGAGGGGCGCACGCTTTTCGCAGGTTAGGAAGTGAAGCACTGCTTCCCTGGGAGTGAATTAATGCTTTTTATTGTTTATTCAATTATTCATCATAGAATCTTTGAAAATATTTAGTAAATGAAATATACCGATGGCAAAAGTGCGAAACCACGGATCTCCATTTGCGACCTGGCAAACTTCCTGTCATACCTACCTACTTCATATTTTCCTTGGAACCATAGTCAACGTAATTTCTTGAAAACTTGCTTGATTTTTCTTCCCCGTGAGCAGGATATTCCGTGTAAACAAGCCATTGGGTTGCCTTGTTTCTCCTCGAAAAAATGTTGAAACTTCGCAATGGAGATACGTGGTTTAGTACTTTGGCCATTGATGCTTGAATATTTCTCCCGCATGCAAAGGATAAAGAAGGCGGTAGCGTGGCGTAATTTGCGATATATCGATTTATTTACCATTTGAGTCTATGGAAAAGAATCGATAGATAGGGTGCTCGCAACGAACACCTCAATAATCGATTTTTTACCATAGTTTCAGACAGGGAAATATCGATAATTGTTTCACGCCTCACCACTGGAGGAGGAGAAAAGTACTCACTTGAATGACGAGAGTAGTTTCTTTGAGCTGGTTTCCAGCAACAGAAGATTAGTGATACGATCCATGTGAAGAAGTTCTTTCGGGAATCACTCATAACAGAGCAGCGCCCGGCGTTTTGATGGATTTCCGATTGAAGGAAAAGCCCGGCAGTTGTCATAGCAACGAGGATCCGACATCGGGTCATTCTTCCTCCAGCGAAGGCTTCCGTTTCTTGGAGGGACGCCCATTTTCTCGCAAAGCCATCAAAAGTCCATCGAGGAAATTGTACACATGGTCAACGCTTCGTAAAGACTAAATTAACAACTAGGGGAGGGTCGCGAGCGGGGGGTTGATTAAAACTAGAACGGGGAGAAGAACTCGCGAAGGCAGCCAATCAATTCGAAATAATGTTCTTCCTCTTTTTCAAGTAAAGAGTGAAAATTGCACTTGTGATCGCGTATAATTTAAAAAGTTTACTATCCATTGTCTCGGCGAAAGTCACGCACGCAGGTGAGAGAGCGATAATTGACGTGGGAGTTACATTATTCGATATTTTTCGGGACTAAAACGAGAGGCCTGAGCGACCGGCGGCTGAGTTTCGGGGCGTCAATATTTAAAACACATGGTAGATGAAATTCTGTAGCTCAGCCATGCCAGGCTCAAAGATTTGCTATCATCGTTACGCCATTTGTTCGGAGAGGGGGTGATTGAATATGTATTGATTTTTTCGGGGTTCTAATTAAAAGCTTGTCCGAACTGCACGCTTCTTGAGAGGCGCGTGATAACGGCGTTGAAGATAAGGCATTTTATTAGGTCGGGAGCCTTACTCGGCTGGAACCTTGACGGCCGTGACCACCGTCTCCTCGAGTGGTGCCGACGGCGGCGTCAATCAAGGCGTCGCTCCTCCTCATCCAAGCGACGCTCTCGCCGTCTCCATTCCCGCCTACCTCCTCCTGTCTTGTCCTCTTCTTGCCGTCCACCTGGAACAAAATCATCCATGCTTAGGTAAGAACATTCAGGCCAAAATCATGAAAATCAGAAAAAATCATGCTCCCCGATGACGTCATCAAAGGGTGCTTGATGACGTTTTCAAAGGGTGCTTGATGACGTCATCAAAGCGTGCTTGAAAACTGCATCAAAGGGTGCTTGATGACGTCATCAATGGGTGCTTGATGACGCCATCAATGGGTGCTTGATGACGCCATCAATGGGTGCTTGATGACGCCATCAATGGGTGCTTGATGACGCCATCAATGGGTGCTTGATGACGCCATCGATCAGTTCTACAATGACGTCATCAACCGGGAACACTCATAAATGACAAAACAGCCAAACAAGCCCAATGGTCAATTGGCCGAATGCAGCCGAAAATGGCCGAAAATAGCCGGAGCCAGTAGCCACCCTCGAGGGGGAGGGGAGGTTACAGGGGGAACGGGCAGGAGGAGGGTTAAGGGGGGATGCAAGTAGTACGTGGGTGAGTTTTTTTTCATGCGGTGGAAAGTTTCTGAGATATCAGACACCGCAGACTCAACGTCTAGTTTAGTTCTTTTATCAGGTAGGTCTCTGTTCATTATAATCGACCAAAATGGTAGTTGAGAGATTGCTATTTCAGAAATTGGGTATTTTTTTTCGTTTTACTTTTTCTTTTAAATTTCATCATTTTTTCTGCAAGACATCTAGTTGTTACCTTTTGATACCCTGGTAAAAATTGGCGATAGGAGCTGCGTTTCAAAATACCATGGGAGTTCTTATAGCCGACTAAAGAAGGCTATGAAAATCATATAGCTGATTGTAGAAAGCGGAGTAAATCATATAGCCGGGCTATACGAAGCTATAAAAAAGTGTACAGTCGGGCTATAGTTCCTATCGCCGGGCTTTACACTTTATCGCCATTGGCTATAAAAGGCTATAAGAAATTGTGTAGAAATTCGTGTGCTTTGGAAATCATTAAGTTTGATGCGGAGCTACCTTAATATTTACAAAACATACATTATATTTTTCTTTAAGACATATGTTTTTTTCATCAATTAAAATGAGAATAGTCCATACAGAGTGTGCAAACATTTCAAAATCATGAGTTGAAAAACGCTGACTCCGCGAGATTAAATATTATAGCCTAACACAAAGCGGAGCGGCGGCGCACTGGCGCCTTTAAACCTAACAGGGATACTTCACGCATTGCGCAATGCTTGAAGTATCCCTGTTAGGTTTGTAGGCGCCAATGCGCGTTTCGTGCTGGCTGTCCGCCCGCCGCCGCGCCGCAGCGTGCCACGGCGCAGCGCTTGAAGCAACTATTTCACTCACAGTATCATGGCAACTCTGGTTATGTGAACTGGCAATATTCACACGGCGTTTTTCCTTAGCAGGCAGTTACTGCCATGCTAAGGAAAAACGCCGTATGAACATTCGAGAGTTGCCAAATTTTCTCCGATAAAATGTTTATTTTAAAGGAAAGTTATGCGTATTTTTCCTTGAAATTTTCACCTATTTTGGATAGAACTGCGAACAATACTGTCTGACAAAATTGGAATAAAAATATTCATAACTCTTCCAATAAATTCGTATTTTATCAAAGGAAACTTGGCAATGTCTGATGGCTCATACGGCGTTTTTCCTTAGCGCGGCAGAGTACTGCTCCTTTTCGTAGTGGTGAGTCCAGTGGCGAGGCGTGAATAATCGATTATCGATATTTCCCCATTTGAGCTGAGGTAAAGAATCGATTATTTGGGTGTTCACTGCGAACACCCTAATAATTCATCCGGTTCCATAGGTTTAAATGGTAGATCAATCGATATATCGTAAAGTACGCCACGCCACTGGGTGAGTCTCAGTTCAGTCGAGCAATCAAAAATGATAATAGTATGATGCGAGTGCTAAATGACAGTAATGAAAATGGACTATCGTTTACTCTCGACTTAAGTTGATAGGGGCGCAGGTAGGTTCCCTCCGATTATCCGTGTCTTGAAAAGTGGATGGAAAACGAGGCACGCTCACAGGTGAACCGCACGCTGGCACTGCTTTCCCGCACCCATCGCGCAAAGTTGTTAGAATATCAATCGAATTACGAATGCCGGGTGCAGACACCCCCCGAGAAATTCGGGGATTCAACCAACGACCTGACTACCTTGACCGAAACTAGGTCACCTATAAAGCGCACGCAAAGGTCGCTACGTGGAAGATAAATTTCGATCAGCCCATTCCCGGATTTTTCTTGCGTTTAAATACCTAGTCGTTTTCGAAAAATCCCTGTTTGCCTCCGCAACATCCTAGGTCCCGTAAAATAATTATTTCCGCCTTTCTAACTGCAAAAATGTCCATATTTTGACATAGACAAATCTGAAGATCTACCTGACTAGTTTTCATAATATTTACGCTATTGGCATTCCAGATGGGCTCGTTGTATTCTAATTTTTAGACCGTCACCAAAACAGGCACTTTTGTGTTACGGAGCAGCCTTCGGAAGCTGAGCTGGGTTCAAGTCAGGGGAACTGCTCACTGTTTATTCAAATTGAAAAAAAAAAAAAAAAAAAAAAAAAAAAAAAAAAAAAATGCGATTCGCGCGCGTCTATTTTTTTTTATTAGATTTTCCTCGCAATTATTGATATCCTTCTTGATAGAAAAGGACCGAACTAGCATAAATAAAACCTGAAACAACTATCAGTATGCATTCACTTCCTTTGCGTAAAAAATACTGAGCATCTCCCGCAAATTTCAAATATTTTAAGTGCTTTTACATCGTAATATGTTTAACACTTATGATTTCCCGCAAAACGTTGTTAATGAAAAGGTGAGGGAGGGGGAGAGGGCGAGAGGGGCATGGAGGAGAGCGGTGGGAGTTGGGGAAGAGGAGTAGAGAGAAAGAGGATCGTACCTTTATGACGGTATAGACAAAATACAACGTTTTTTACCATAACGATTAACAAATCATACTAATTGACTTTTAAAAGAAATTTTAATCATGAAGAATTTACGATTGCGAATCTGGAGTAAACCGTAGTCAACGTTTCAAGATATTTTCACCAAGATAATTTAGTTTCAGTATCTAAAGGAAGGAACTACTGACCCCAAGTCCGTAACATTCATTATACTTAACTTTACCCTTTCAACAAGATCGCACAAAAAATTCACGCTTGATACACAAATCGGCAAGAAAATTTTTAAAGACACCAATCGATACTGGTTTTGTGTATTAGTATTGATTACTGTCTACGAAGAGCAACGCTCACAGCATATACCAATCCAGTGGTGAAAATTGCAAGTTGGCAACACCGAGAGTCGTTCATTTAAACATGGGTAAACAATCGATATTCGTCGAGTCGGACTCTTTCACTGGACTCGATCCTTCATAATAGAATTAAATGGAGGATAAACAGTAGGAGAAACTTCGAGAATGAGAATCGCCTCCTGCACTCATCCCTTCCTAATGCGTCATGTGAAACTAGATTTGCTCCGACCCCTTCATGTTCCTGACATAACTAATACTCATTTTCCTGTCCTACCACATCTGGAAACCGATGAGTAAAAAACAAGCACTAACGTGTCCTACTAATTGCTTCACTTAATGAGAGAAGCTAGAAAACAATTTTAAACGTTGTTTTTTTCATTCATTTTAAGAGAGATTTGGCATCGTTTGTGTCCTTGTTCTTTTAAAGGCTTCATTTCCCTATTGATCTCAACGCTGTCTGTTCCACAGTGGATATGCAATAAAAAGCTCAATTCCCCTTTCAATATAATCGTACACAAAATGTTTTCTACCGATTTTGAGGTTTATAATTAAATGACACCTAACTCATCAAGTCAAATTGTACAACTATAGGTGTACGGTTAAACGTATAGACGAGCAGGTGTGGGTATCTGTCTTTCGAGTGTGAATACTAGGCTAGGGCAGACAATAAATGTGTATCTGTATGTGTCTGCCTATTTGAACAATTACGGACAGTAAATTTCGACTATGGAACTGCAAAAATGCGTATCTCCGTATTGCGATATTTTAATTTTTTAAAAGGAGACCGAACTATAATCATGGCTTGAAATTAGAATTTTTTAATAGAGAGGCAGGAAAATCAAGAAATTACGTCCAGTTTAAGAATATGAATAGTGGTATGGAAGCCGAAGACCGAGGACGAACGGCAAGATCATGAAGCAGAGGAGCTGGCTGTTTTTAGAGCTGGCAGGTCCACGATACCACGATAGGTCCACCAGTTTGTTACTGTCCAGGTTATTGAGAAGAAAATGGCCGTAACTCAGGAGCTGCATTTAATTTTTTGGATCAAAATCTATCTCGAAAAATAAGGAAATGCATCTCGGTAAAAGAAAAACCGTTAGAGGCCGAGTTGATATATTCGACGAATCCGATTAACTTAATTCACCTGAAATTGGAGAGTCGCAATATCGATCTGAATGAACCGAACTAACGCCTTTCATTTGACCACAATCAAATGAATCAAGTTGGTGCAGCTGCCATGCAAAGAAATGTAAAACGACCGGTAGGCCACTATTCGTGTCTGTGAGCTGCTTTCTGGCCTACCCTCCTGGATGAAGGCGAATCATGTCGGCACCGGACAACGCAACGAAGTGCATGCAATGACACAAGACACGAGCGTTCATTCGACCACGTGTTATAATTCATTTGATTGATCTCTCAGCTAAATGATTCCGGAATAGTACCCAGTGAGGGAGTGATATGTTATGTGACTGCTATGGGTTGGATTGCATTTTCGGGGGGGGGATTGCATTGGATTTCGGTCTTTAAGAGTGACCGCTAGTTTCTGACGAAGTAATTTATAGCAATTGGAATGTCGAAATTTCCTTCAATACGCAGTTGCAGCTTGAGACGAAATCTTTCGTGTAGAGGGAGAAACAGGTACATAACGAGAGGCTGCCGATGACGAAATTTTTCTCAGTCCCCTCATTTTTCGTCTTTCTTGNGGGGGGGGGGAGGGTGGCCCTCTTTGACCATGGTAAACCTTAAATCCATGCT